CGTGACGAAGAAAACACAAACTGGTGACTGGTTAAGAGCTGTTTAACCAATGAGACCTCTTTGTACACATTAGTTAATTCCACTGATTTCTTCCAGTACCCTGAGCAGCTACTTCTGTGGCCTTCATCCTGCTTTTTGGTAAGGGAAGACTTCGGCATACGATTGCGAACACGATTCCGTATTTTGCTTGTCCTTCGTGACTTGTGATTTAGTGATTCGAAATTAGTATCTAGTCCGAATACTACAATTTTCCAATGGAGTGGGACTGATCTTTGTACTGTTTGATCAGACAAATGTTCATTTATACCTTTGTTTGTACACAGCCTCCGCTAATCAAGATTTTGATTAATCAGCTTGTAGAATTGAGCTCAGTTTCTTCTCTTCAGAACAGTCATCTGTCGTTTTGCTGCCCGTTTAGGGAACCGATGCAATTGTGAACAATGGATAATGTTACCTAAAAAACACTAACCGACTGTGCATTAGTGTAGATCGAGGAAATTCAAGAAACACCAAAATCATTACTATCCAAACTAAAGAACTAAATACTGTGAGACGATGCGCAACATTCTCACAATTGAGTGATATCGCACGTTTTTATGCGAGGCACATAATCCGATGATAATCGTTTATAAGTGAGCTATTTGTTGGACCATTTAGACGGATACAAATACAAATATACATGGAATCTGGGGTAGTATTAATCTAATGGGAAATATGGGGTTCCTAAGGAAAATAAATTTGGAAGAGAGGTTTTGCTATGCAGCTGAAACGCTTATTCTTTTTTCTTATTCCCATCAATATAAATTTTGGTTGTTGTTTGATATCTCCCTAGTAGTGAATATGCTGCAGCATTTAATGCGTTTATCGAGAATTTCTTTGGCATTTATCCCAGGAAAACAAACAGTGTTCGTTACATGTCAGTTTCATGTAGTCACTGACTGAGTATGTATATGCGTGGATTTTCTTGTAAGTTTGGAGTCCTGAATAAAGTAAAGTTGATTTGTTTGGATGTATGCAATCCGCGTGAGAAGAGAACGACATGGTTCTGCTACGTATCCCTTGTCCGATCACCAACTAGTTTTCTCGTTGTCATTCACAACATCAGGTTAGTTCCATTAGTTTCTTCCCCATGGACGACCCAGAAAAATCCGAGGAAAAAAACTCTAAGCCGATTGATTCTCATTTGACTGAATAAAAAGAACAAAAATAAACCAATCACAGAAGCTTGCACATGCTGTACGTGGATTACTGGATTATTCCCGTGATCATATTCACTCACGTGCATCTGACATCCATCTATCACCAGTTCAAATGAGACCTAAATCAATCAGCCGCGTTTACATTGTTCAGATGTGCTCCTCAATAGCCGAGAATCACCGTGTATTGAAAGTACCTTAAATCTGAATTAATGGAGCAGAGCAATCTCACTACTCCTCGACCACAACTGCATCGAAAAAGTGTTAATATCATAGATCAAGATCATATGATGGTGCATGAGCTTCTCGGTAGTCCATCTATCGATGGATCACAAAGGAAACCAATTATGTCCGGACTGACTCGAGTAGAAATGGCTCACGCGTTACAACAACGCTGGATGGATCAGTCGCATGAACTGTGCCAACCGATGAGACAAACTGACCAAGTTATATTCCAGTTAGACCAAAACCGAAATGCATGGCAATCGGACTCAGAACAGCCTGATGAGCAAGAAATCGTAAATAGTTCGGTTGCCGAAGCGATAACATCAAGCAGTAAACAGCTGGAACTCCTCAAACCGACAAATGTAAATGAACCTTTACCTTCAGACCAAGTCTCGTCAATCAGGTCTGCATCAATTCGGTGCAAAACCAGTGTTCGTACACGATCCCCAGACGGAAACGTGGTTGAATCAGAAATTGAGGAGAGTTATCCTATCACGATTGAGAACCCAGACTACGGAGCTGCAGAAGCGCACAAACGTGCGTTTCCCGCCAACGGCTACCGTGAAGAAGAAATGGATGGTTCCAATTATCCGGATATCAATGTAGTTACTTGTATACAAGTTTCACATTTTCCGGATCCAACAAATGCATCAACTACATCAATTCCACCACCAGTCGGTACTTCTGTAGGTGCTAGTACCATTACACCACTACCATTGGATGCTCCCACTGGTCAGTCCAAAACAACATTGACAGAACAATGCAACGAACTAGACAGGTCATTACAAGACAAACTACCGAACAAGTTACCAGATCAGTCAGCTCAACAATCCGCTTCAGTATCAGCTTCCGCGTCAGACGAACTGCAAGTGAGCATGCAACAGAAGTTATCATCTGACTGGCAACAACCTAAAAATCTACACCAACCGATTCAGATTGCGACAGAACGAGTACAGCATTCCGACCCTGCTAAAAATGTTGCTGATTTAATTAGAACAAAAACTTCGAGTAGAACATATTCGGGACAAGGTACGCTGAAGGATGATGTGCCGCCCATTACATTAGCTAGGACAAACTTACTTCCCAAGGAGGTTGGCAGCGTAGTGAATGGTTCAGAACCGAAGAATGAACGAACCTTACTTCGAAATCTTCCTCCGCAGCAACTGGCACAGAAAAGACTGAAGATTACTGATCCAGCCCGGGTGGAGATTGATCACATGCGTCGTGTTCTGGACAGTGTGTGTGACGATTTAGTTTCAATTCTGGAAAGCATCCTAAATCGGGATTTTACAGCTTGCACAGTGTTTTACGATCATATCCGAGTGCTACCGATGATTTTGGGCCGACTTATTGCCAAACTAGGATACAGTCCTTTCGAAAAAGAATTATGGCAAACTCAAGAGAGTCTAATGCGAATGATGGAAGAGGTGAAAACGAAACCGTCGATGATATTGCTTAGACTAGTGGAATTAGGATTCTACATTTTTGAAGTTGGATACCTGATCGGTGAAAAGATACTTCCTTTCAATTTTGCATCTCGAGTGCACGCGATCCAAACTCGCATTCACGTAAGTAGCTTGATAAACGTATATTTTTGTTTAGGCATTGATACTTTCTTATGCTAGGACGTCCTAGGTTTCAGTTTCTGATGGGCTCCCGTTGATTGCCTGGAGCTGCGTATGTGCGCGTGCTAACGCCATATAGATGAGCAAGTGACTTGAACGGGTAAGCTTAGTGAACTTTGTCAAGATTAGGTCAGAATGCGATGGGAATCTATTTGATAGATTTGTCTTTTAGATTTGGTTATCTTGCGCGCTTTATTCTGAGGATAGGCGAGGAGCATGTTAGGTATGCATCAATCAAAATGGCGGTTGATTGTCGTTCTTTTGTTAACATTGCTGTTAATTCATTTGTGTAGAACTCCTAATAGGTGTTGGTACACGTCTGCATCGTTACATTCGCTCTACAATTTTTGAGTAAAATTTGGTGAGTTTAACTAGGAATAGGAATGTAGCATACCCTGAATTAGTAGGAGGTTGAGGTTCACCAAGTCTAGTTTCGACAGTGAGCTAACGCAACATGTATAGTTAGGGAATCCAGAACTTTAAGAGAGTCGTACTGGTAGGAAAGAGTGTGAGAAAAACCGGAGATAGACTGAACTACAGAATCGTCAGTGCCTATACTAATATCGACTAATGAAAAGAACTTATAAACTTCGTAATACGTAAAAATTACAGGATCATCGCTATTTGAACAAACTGCTGCTATTAGTCTCAAGGAGTGTGTTTGTCTCAAATCAAAGAGCCTACTTGAAATATCTGTTTTATAGAAACACCTTTTGCATGGCACAACGGTACGTGCTATGGAACNCGGATTCAAACCTTGGCCTCTGCGCGCAGGTCATGCTCTGTTTTCGATAACCACTGCCTGTGTAGCGTCGCGTAGGAGATGAAGAGGTGAAACGACGAATGTTTACAGCAGATAGTCTTCCATTGAGCAACACAACTTCACTGAACTGACCTGGACGGTCAATGCACGTCCAACGAATGTACAGACAAAACGTACCGAGCTATGAAGACATTGCATCGCATCGAATAAAACTCAAATGTGGGCAGCCCGTGAAGCAAATTAGAGGGCTGAAGACACTTAGTTCATAATTCGCTTCAGTAGAAGCATACCGACCAAGGCCTCAAATATTCAAGCTGTCGTTCGCTGAATGCATTACTCGATGTCACATTGAACTAAGGTCAAAAACATGAATGTCTTTTTTACATGCGTGCAATCAGAAAAATAAAAAAGGAGAAATCCAGGATGGCGTGCAGCCAAGGACCATTTGAAACCGACTGTTTATTAATCTGTTCTGGTCTTTATGACCGATGATTATATTGACGCCATATATATATATATGGCAGTATTCCGGCGACTGATGAATAATGAAGAATAAGTCTATGCTACCACAGCTTACATGAAACCCCGAATGTTCTTTGGCCATTCATCTCTCATGAATCAAGCTTAGTCTGTCTAATAAAACAGAGGCGGATTGCCTCAGTTCCTTTGAAATCAGCTTTTCTGTTTGACTAATCCCTGCGACAGCCCCTCCAATGAATGGATGTAACAGTCGATTTTCCCCTTGTATGGGGTAATATTCCATTCTCCCAGATCATCTAAAATAGGCTGGCAAGAACTGTCGTGAGAATCTTGGCAGGTGGGCTGATCCGGATGCGTTGAGGCGTTTCAGGGTTTGGAACTCCTTTTGGATCTGCATTTATATGGGCATTCTGGCGGATAGCGACCAGAGCGCACTCTCAGAAGAACTACTTGGGTTAGACAGCACAGTTGAACTGCGATTTGAATTGCTCTGTCCAGCGTTACAAGACTGCATATTGGCGTACCGTGTAATTCGCAAACCTTTTGGAATCAATGAAAAAGATGAGTTAAAACAGCTACGCAGTTTCACACAATATCCATGGGTGGAACGGATCTCAGTGAAAAACTTGGGCGTCGTGCTCATTATTATTGAGGAAAATAGCCTGTCTTAGCCACAACGAATGGAAAACCAAAACACAAGGCGTTGATGACAATGTTTCGACCCTCTTTAACGGCCTTTTTCAAGTCGTTTAATCGGTTAGTCTCACGTTACAAGCAATTATAAGGCAACGGGATGCCCAGTTTTTTCATAACCAGCTTTTGAGTACTTATTCTTTGAAAGTAAAACCCAGCATGCTTCTTAGTCATCTTGGAAGCTCTTTCGTAGTTTACGCTTGCAAGAGCGGCTCTATCCGTTACACTCGCTGTCTGACGGAATCACTCGACGTGTCTTAACCAGTCGAAGAGTTTGGAAGGACGAAACCCATTGTAGTACATCTCGAAGGGCCACAAGTTCGCAAAAAGCTGAGTACATTGCTTTTCGAATCCAATCCAACAGAGCAGTCTTGGCCCGAGCACTTAAGACTTTACCAGGGCCTTTTTGGTCGGTTGCTGATGCATCAGGGTCCCCAGAAAGGTGCCGATGAAACCCTTTATGGGTTGAAAGGATTCGTTAATCGGATTGCCTAACTCGGACCTTGAATGCATGCTTATGAGAAACAAAAAAGCGATCTATAGACTTCCGAGCGTACCAGCTAACCCTAATTGTTGTCCAATACACATTACAGTTCCCACGTTAAACGAAGCCAGCTTGAACAAAGAAAGTTGACGGAGGAACGGACTGGCAGGCTCTATAGAACACGGCACTGCTGAGACAGTTGTCTAGGAAGAGAACCGCGAGCTATAACGTAAACGTCAGTGGAACCATTCGAAACAGAGCAGACAGTGAAACAGGGATTTTTGTGAGCGATGAATGGTAGTACTGCGTACATCTTTTGAGAAGGACTAATTTTACGCCTGAGTGTAGAAATCTGGGGTATGCGTTAATTTTTGAGTCCATGGTTAGATTTTGGGCGTAATACTACGTGGTTGCTCAGGCCAGAGTATAGTATTCTCTGAAGGGGCCATACCCAGAGCCTTTGGCTAGAGAACATGATCTACATTTTAACCGAGTAGGGTAATGAATCCACAATAATTTGGGAGCCGNNNTGACAGGTAGACCAGTTCATACACCATTCGGAAAAATATAACTATCCAGGCTACGCAGATTGCTTTTGGGCCGCGCAGTTCTCATTGAGCATTGTAATGTTCAACTCCAAAGGTGGACTTCAGAGTATGTGGCTCGGGATTGGGATGAGAATTGATGCCACTATGAGCTTTTTAGGCCAAGCATGGGTGTTTTGGAATCAGCAGCTGAGATCAAAAAATAGATCCATTGTTCTGTAAGTAAAGTCTGAAAGTGGTAAACATAGCTTTTTTTCGGTACTTCTCATCAGAGCAATACGGTATACAATCCCAATGTTGGCCAACTTCCTGAGACTAACTACTAGTGTTTAGGGCCTCCTCAGCAGAAACTACTTCAGACGCTTGGTTGTTAAGGGTCATTTCGGGAAGTGTTCGGGATGACTGGCGGTTTGAAAGCCCGGGAAACCCTTTTCACTATAGCGAAGCAGTTAAAAGCTATACATACCCGGTTTTTCAGTTCGCCATTTGTTTGGTCCGTTAGAAACTCAAATCGAATCCTTTGATGTATTATTTTTCATTGCACACATTTCTGTGATAAATGTGTGATGATGTTTCTAACCCAGTCACAAACCTGATGGTCCGTGCTGAGGTAGGCAAGATGCGGTGCCCACAAAAAGCTTTTGAAGGTGGGTTGTACCATTTAATGTGTAATAAAATGAAATGCGTTCCGATCAGTAGTCCAATGGTCATGTGGTTGGTACGCTTACATTCTATTGATATATTTGTGGGTTCAATTCTCAGTGGGGGTCGATGGGTTGTACTACTAATGGGATCCAATGAAGTAAAAACAGCTATACAGTTCATCCGCGCTTTTCAGTTCACGCTTTATTTGTTCTAAATACGGCCAAATCAAGCGTCCGATCTTTACATTTTATGAGGTGCAAACCGAAACAGTGAAGATTTAACGGTCCTTAAGTATGACTTGTTGTTGATTTCGATTAACATACGCCTGCAATGCAGCCCATGCAAGACGATTCTCTAGATTAAATAAAATGCATCCAACTAAGGGGACAGAATTACAAAGCAACTTGAAATTTGGTAGTGTTGAGAGAAGTATTCGAAATGGAGCTTCAGAATTCGCGCAACACCAATCGGATAGCACACGTACTTTATTCGAATCGTATACTATGCGTATTCGATGCATTTAAAGTGTACAAGGAATTTTTCGAGGTCAGTGTCACACATCACACTCGCTGCACCTTGAATTGACCACAGGATTTCTGTAACCCAGTCTTCGCTTCGCACTCAGTCGTTTAGACCTTCGTAGGACTCGTTCATCCACAGGTACTTCTTCCGTAGCAGCTTGTTGTTCAACATTCTGTTCGTCAGTAGTATCGAGTTGCTCAGTATCTAAAGAAACAGTATTAGACTCGGAATTTTCATCATGAAATGGAACTGACTGACTTGAATTATCAAAGAGAATTGGGTCCACATGTCTTCTGTGTATAGACAAATCATCCTTGCAAAGTAATTGAAGCATTCTTCAACCCAAAGACAGGACAACTCCTGAAGGGGATCTTAGGTCATTACCACGAAAAAATACGACTTCAGAAGAACTAATGCACAATGAATTGGATCTCAGATTTCGACCTTTTGAACGTTTAGTAGGTGTTTCTTAAGTGGGTGAATTAACACAATTGAGAAATGGACCACAATAATCAGCATGAATACGTTGCCAAGCTTCAGTTGAAACAGGCCACGAAACCCACTCGAATGACATTTGTCGAGCTTTGTGATGGTATTTAGGGCAACTCTTTTGCTTGGGAACATACGTCGGCATCCATGTTCGGCCAACAACAAGTTAATCTAGCCAATGACTTTATCTTTTCTATCCCAAGATGGCCGGAATGTAGGTATTCAAGTATGGCTTTACACAAAGTCGGTGGAATAACAACTCTGTCATTCAAACACAGTAATCCATCGGACGTAAATAAAAGTTCGTCACGCCTAGCATAGTGATATGGAAATCGCTTCCGGTTCTATGCATTCCAACCCTTCAGCAATGTAGTCATCA